TCATTTTTCCAGAACCCGATAGCTGAACAGTGGCTTGGCTGGTTTTCTCCATCAGAGAAATATTTATTTTGGGCAGTTTTGTGTTAGTAGATGCAAAGAAGTGTAGAGAGTCATGTGATGCCAGTGCTACAGAGCAAGGGCTTCTTGACGAAGAGATGTAATTTGCAGTTGTTAATATAAACCCCATCTTGATTAGGACTTTTGTCTGACATAAGGGTCTGCCCAATTTGTAAATGGCACAATGCCACCCTAACAGATGGGCATGAGTGTAGGCCACACACACACACACACATACATATATATATATATACACATACAGAATTCTCTGCTGAGAATGCCTGAACAGCTGTCCATACTGATTTTAGTTATTTATAAATAAAGGGCATGTGCCATCTTTAATCCAACTCTGATCTGGACTAGCTTTAACTAGAAAAAATAATTTCCTTGGCTATAGGAGAGAAATTCTTGGCAAGGCTGAACTAATCTGAGTATGGAGCAATCCATTATTATATGGTTTTCAGCTTCAAGGCCAAAGGTTACGTCTGGTCTATTCAGTTTTGATATGACGAGGTCAATGGAATGTAACCATATGTACTGTGTGCAGCATTTAGTATAACTAAAACCAGTGGAGATTACTTGGGCTGTATTTTATCTTAAAATAATTGTTTTTAATGATAAGATAAAGAAAGTACAAGTATGGTCTCAGTCTAAACATTTAAACTTTCCAAATGCCCAGGTTTGATACAAGTGAAGCAATAAACTAAGATAATTATTTAGAGCGGTTACCTGTAATAGGAATGACTAGCCAATAGTGGTTCTTGATCCACCTGCTGGAGGTTGTGGGTCCCCAGCATTGGTGAGTCTGCCGGTAGCAGAGAGCACTGCAGTGCCAGCCATTCAGAATCCCTGCTGTGTTGGAGGACTGAAGCTAGATTGCACAAACTAAAATAGTGGTCAGGGCTGGGCTAGCCAGGAGATCTGCTGAGTCAGTACTTCTCCCAGGGACCGCTGTTACTGAGGCTTCTATGAAATCTGCAACTCCAGGAGAAGTCAATCAGAGCTTCCGGTCATTCAGGACCTCTGGAAAATTGGGTCTTAACTGTGTCAGAGACATTGCTCTTTGTCCAGTTGATAATATATGACAGTGGCCAGCAATGCTGCTGTGTTTCCCCAAAATGTTTTGGGGACATCAAAAATATTCATATAAAGAGTTTTCAAATGGTTAGGGGAGTTGATGGGAAAGTGACTCACATTATAGGACACAACTGGGTTTTCATAAGAAATGAATGTTAGATAAAAGGAAGCTCAGATACGTAGGGGCCCAATTGTTTCAGTGCAAGGGATGTCTTTGTGATTCAGCTGAAGAGCTCCAGTTAAACAACATCTGACTAAATCAGGTTGAGTTGAGAAGAATGGAATGTTAAGTGAGGCCACATTCAAGGTTAACTGGCCAAAGAGTCAATGAACATAAGTTGTTGTCTTGGTGACAGAGATGTGGAAGGCTGTGGAAAAGGAGAGATCCGTCTGGAAGAACTCCCTTTCCCTTGTGGAAACCATTTCTGCATGTAGAGGGCATGACTTGGTTATGTCATTCAAGTCATCAGGGCCTGATACTATTTACCTCAGGGTACTGAAGGAATTAGCTGAAGAAAGCTCGGAGCCACTGGCAATAATATGTGCAAACTCCTGAATGACAGGACAGGTCCTGGAAGTCTGCAGAAGGGCTAATGTAGTGCCCATCTATAAAAAGGGGGGGAAAGACGGGGAACTATAGACCAGTCAGCCTGACCTTGATACCTGGGAAGCTATTGGAGCAATGTATGAAACATTCAGTTTGCGAATACCTGGAGGATGAAGGGATAATCACTAAAAGCAGCATGGATTTATTAAGGACAAATCATGCCAAACCAGATTGATTTCCTTCTTTGGCAGGGTAACTGGTTTGGTTGATAGCAGGAATGTGGTGGATATAATATACCTGGACTTCAGCAAGGCTTTTGACATAGTCCCACAAGACATTCTGATAAGTAAGCTCGAGAAATGCAGGCTCGGCAGAACTACCATTAAATGGATATATAATTGGTTAAACAACTGCAAACAAAGAGTAACTATTAATGGAATTATGTCAAATTGGAGGGAGGTCTTAAGTGGGGTTTCACAGGGATGTGTTCTGGGTCCATTGTTATTTAACATCTTTGTTAATGACTGGGATGTAAGAATAGAGAGCATACTAATCAAATCTGCAGATGATACAAAGTTAGGCAGGGTTGCCAACACTTAGGAGGATAGAGCTAAAGTTCAAAGAGATCTTGATAAATTGGAGAACTGGGCTACTGACAACAAAATGAAATTCAATAAAGACAAATGTAAGATGCTACACTTAAGGAAGAAAAACCAAATGCACAAACACAGAATGGGGGATAACTGGCTTGGCAGCAGCACAGCGGAGAAGGATTTGGGAGTTGTGGTAGATCACAGCCTCAACATGACTCAGCAATGTGATGCTGTTGCAAAAAAAGCAAATGCAATTTTAGGTTGCATTAACTGTGGCCTGCAAGTCACGGGTGGTGATAGTACCACTCTACTTAACACTGGTTAGGCCTCAGCAGGAGGACTGTGTCCAATTTTAGTCACCGATGTAAACAAACTGGAAAGGATCCAGAGGTGAGAGACAAAGATCATCAATAGGATGGAATGCAAGCCATATGAGCAAAGAATGAAGGAACTGGGTATGTTTAGTTTGGAAAAGAGATTAAAGGAGGACATGATAGCAGTCTTCAAATACTTGAAAGGCTGCCATAAAAAAAGATGGAGAAAAGTTGTTCTCTCTTGCCATAGCAGGCAGGACAAGAGGCGATGGCTTCGAACTACAGCATAGCAGATTTAGATTAAATCTCAGGAAAAGCTTCCTAAGTATAAGAACAGTAGGACAATGGAACAGACGCCTCAGGAGGTTGTGGAAGCTCCTTCACTGGAGGTTTTTAAAAGGAGTCTGGATAGCCATCTGCCTTGGTTGGTTTAGATACTACAAATCATATATCTTGGCCAGGGATCCCATTGAACCCTACAATTCTATGACTTCTAGTCAGGAATGACTCATAACCTGCCCAGTAAAAAATTGAACCTAGGCCTGTTGGATTTCTCTCTCTTACTTTCTTCATCTTCCAGGGCTCTGTGCTATTTTTAGGAAGTATTGGATGTGTGAAAAAAAGATGGCAGAGGCTACTATTTCTGATAACATTTAGAGCAGGGGTCGGCAACCTTTCAGAAGTGGTGTGCCGAGTCTTCATTTATTCACTCTAATTTAAGGTTTTGCGTGCCAGTAATACATTTTAACATTTTTAGACGGTCTCTTTCTATAAGTCTATAATATATAACTAAACTATTGTTGTATGTAAAGTAAATAAGGTTTTTAAAATGTTTAAGAAGCTTCATTTAAAATTAAATTAAAATGCAGAGCCCCCGGACTGGTGGCCAGGATCCGGGCAGTGTGAGTGCCACTGAAAATCAGTTCGTGTGCTGCCTTTGGCACACATGCCATAGGTTGCCTACACTTGATTTAGAGAAAACATGGAACCATGAAGGACTGGTGGATTATTTTCAATTGACAATAACATTCTTCTTTTAAACTCCGGCTAGAAAACTGTTAAGTTAGGCTAGGTCTACACTACTCGCCTGAATCGGCGGGTAGAAATCGATCTCTCAGGGATCGAATTATCGCGTCTCGTCGGGACACGACAATCGATCCCTGAATCGACGCTCTTACTCCACCAGCGGAGGTGGGAGTAAGCACCGTCGACAGGGAGCCGCGGAGGTCGATTTTGCCGCCATCCTCACAGCGGGGTAAGTCAGCTCCGATAGGTCGAATTCAGCTACGCGAATAGCGTATCTTAAATTGACACCCCCGCCCCCCGTAGTGAAGACCTGCCCTTAGTGTGCTGTCTATTGTAAGCCTGGTCAATGGGAATGCTTCAGTCACTTGTAATGCAGGCAGTTTACTACTTCTGAGGGTTAATTTATTACCTGGGAACCAAAAGCAATTGACTTCAAAAAGTTGTGACAAGCACGCACGCACGCTTCTCAGACTCTCATGGCAATAAAACAGGTAGTGACACTTGAAAGAGAGGGGAAAGTAAAGTGTAGCACGCTGCAGAACTTAATTATGTGGGAACACAAGCTATGAAATATGGCATATGAAACATAGACATATGCTTTCCTTATGCGAGACAATATTTTCCTATTGCCAGAATATGTGAAAGGTCAAATGTATATTTATGCAATTTATTTCCCCTTTAAAAGTATCTACATTGTTTGTAAGGAATGTAACTCCAACCCTTGCATTTTTGAAGCAACAAATGAACAATTTAACACTAGCCTTAATGTGAAATTATTTCCATGTTACATTGTGGGGTAATTCTAGTCAGTTTTATGACAAGTTTTGTTTTGGGGGGGAATATGCAGGGAATGAAAAATTGCAACCAACTGACTACATCTCAACAGCAGCTTTCAAGGACACTAGATTAAAAGATAGGAACAAAGAACTGATCAGAAATAGAAATGACATCACAACTATATTGGTGTTCATGTTTGATATGGTTTGATACATCAGGCTTGCATAAATCAGCAAAGTACAAATAAAGTATTCAGTTATAACTGAGAATGCAGGCACACTGATTTGTCTGTACCTCTTACTGCATTTGCAATTAAACTCTGCCTTTTTAATAAATAATCCTCAGGTACATTATGAAGAAATACAGGGAAATTCAAACTCATTGCCACATATTTATTCAGATTATTGTATTATGCCATGTAGTGTGACATGCATATTTTAATAGGAAAGTTGACATAAGGAAACATTCCTGGAATAAGAAATATACTTTGTACAGCATTAGATCCTGCACACACACAATCAATTTCTTCAACAGTGAAAATATTTGTGGCTAGCTATATAATTAAATCTTCTGTCCCTGTACCACACTGATTTCATTTCTCTGCAATAGGGCCCTAAAGGAGATCCAGGTTTCTCCCCAGGACAAGCAAAACGTGGAGAAAAGGTAACTGCTTCATAATTACAGAGAAATGTTAGCCACGTTTTTTGTTGTTGAAGTTTGCTTATGTCATCTGTATTGTTGGGTTTAATTACCTTTTAAGTCTAGTGCTATGTAAATTGCAATTTTTGTTTTCCCATTATTGTTTGTCTCAGAATGGCTGATGTCTATATGAGTGGCTGGATTTTAGTGTTCTATGATGAAGTAAGCCTCTGGCAACAGTTATGAACCAAAGACAGACATAAAATAACAACACTTCATGGTTCACCTGTAGTTAAATTTTAAATTCTGTATTTGATTTCAGATTTAAGAAACAAAAATTAAAAAGTAAAACTCTATTGGAAGAATTAAATTAAATTCAGTTTGTTAGGACTTGATAAATATGGTACAGTTAAACTGTTGTGTTTATGTTAACTCCTTCACATCAGCAACAAAATATGAGTATTGAAACCTTATAACATCTTAAATTGGTACACAAAGCTCAGAGTGACGATGGTTAAAGGAATACCACCAATTTAAAAATCATATCTCTACCTGAACTTGTTTTACCTTCTGTTGTTGCAAGGGATACTTCATTTTAGCACAACTGAAACATTAGAAATAAGCCTTTGTGACCAGAATCCCAGGGGAGCCAGCTGAGGTCACTCAGTTAGGATGAACTGCAAAGAATGAGGCAGACAATCCCCAAAGCTGGTGGACATTCCAATACTTAGATTTACCAAGCCAGCACAAAACCTTCTGTAATACCTTACTGCTTACCCAGAAGTCAGCAACACAGTTCCCTTAAAGTAACCCAGCCTCAGGCCTCCACCTAGACACCCAAGTCAGATATGACGAGGATTAGTGAAAATCTTATTCATCATATAGGAAAGTTCCACCAATCACAAAGGATCGGACATATTACCTCCCAGGTTAATGAATATTCCAGATCTTACCCAAATACACACTTATCGTCAGTTCTTATTAACTAAACTAAAATTTATTTAAAAAGGAAAAAGAGTGAGTGTAGGTTAAAAGATCAGTATACATACAGACATGAGTTCAATTCTTGAGGATCAAATTCATAGCAGAGATGGTGAGCTTTGTAGATGCAAAGAGTTCTTTTCAAAATAGTTCATAGATTATAGTCCAATGTTTGTATTCAGGGCAGTCCAATCAGAACTGGGATCTCAGTCCTTGTGGCTTCAGCTTCCCCTGCATAAAGCCTCAAGCAGATCTGAGATGTCAGGATCCAAGCCATTTTTTATACAGTTTCAGGCCTTCTTTGACAGCTCAGAGTCACTTGATGAACAATAGACACTCATTTCCTAAGCATCGCCGGTAATTATTCACACTGATCAACATAAGGCAATTGCCTGTTTTTCCACCATTCACAGATTATTTGATATACATTTCAAAGAGAAATGAATACAGCAATATCCCATGTTTATAGTTCATTTAAATGTTAAGATGTTCTTTTGATCTCTGAATTAACAGAATACAGCATAGATAGGGACTGTTTGATTACATTGTTGACCACTACCAATATATATGTAAATACACAAAAACACAAACATTATCTCCCCATATGTTTTTAAGGGTTGAATTTGAGTCATTTATCCTACAGGATACTTAACCCTTTCTGGTCATGCGTCACAGCCTTTTCCCTGTTTTTCAAAATTTGAAAGCCCTCTGTGTATCCGTTTCCCTCTTTCCCATGTCTAGTTTGTTAGGCCTTGATTCCATAGACACCTTAGCACATGCTTAACTTAAAGCACATGAGTTAGGCTCATTTAATTCTGTGGTATTACTCATGTATTTAAAGCTGAGCACATGTGTAAATGTTTGTAGTATTAGGGGATCAGGGGCTTAGTTAGCAGATTTCCCCTTTTGTTTAAGTGAGTCTTTCACCATAACAGGAAAGGGAAAAAAAATTTAAAAGGAAAATATGATTCTAAACAGGCAAACTTGTGGTGGAGGGAACCCGGGAGCAGGTATAGTCCCTGAAATGATCTTATTTTTTTAAACTTACTAGACTTCAGTTTGATGCTGTCTCTTTATAGTATTTTGATGAATTTGCACACAGTCACATTGTTCTGTTCAACTCTCACCCATGTCACTGTCTTCTCTCCAAAAAAAAAAAAAAAGGTAAACCATTCTGTACTTGAAAATAAAGAGCCTGATCCTGATCTCACTTACACTGGTGTAAATCAGAAGTGACTCTTTTTAAATCAATAGCTACCCTTGTGTGCGGCAGGTGTAAGTGACAGAAGAATCCGATCCAGAGCAAAGCTCTGCTTTGAAAAAAGATTATAAAAATGACACCTTCTGAGTCAGCAGATCTGCTTCCTGTGCTTATTCAGGATCTTACCTGCTGACTTTAGTGATTAAAAATAAGCTCCCCCCCCCCGCCCCTCTTTCTAACCCTCTTGACCCAACACAACTTTGAGAGAATGGTCAGAATTCTATTCCAGTTCACACATCATAAACATA